ATAGCTCTAGTCCTGCAGCACAGTACAGCTACGCACGACTCTCAAATTCCACCCAAAATCACAACGATTTGCCAGCCTTGATAACTGAAGGAGATTTCAGTCTGGGGTCAGACGTAGAAACTGAGAGTGGAGCATCTGCGTTAGTCATCTTTCCGAAGAGAAATGGTATAAGTAATGATATTATTTTCAGCAACTGCCTCAAAACAACTATCACCATTTCAGACATCGTTCAAATTCACCTTTTGAAATCCCCCGACAAGGAGAACCCTCAACATTGCACCGCGAACATATATAATATTTATAATAATTTTCTTTTTATCAATGTATGTATATTTTTTTAATTTTTTTAAAGCTATATTTTAAAGCTAACTTCGGGCGGAGCCGAAGGTAATACACCCTTGCAGTTTAAACCGAATATATTTCAAAAACATCGGATATAGTTGGGTGATCCTTATAAAAACATCATAATTCAAACCAATTAATTACAATAAAAAATCTAAAAAAAGTCCCAAGCTTCTATCTTCAAAAATACGAAAGTTGATATTTCTACCAAATACCATTTCCGATCGTTCAGTTATATGGTAGCTATAATATATAGTCGGGAGGTCGTTACGAAGTTTTGTAGTTCGGATCAACTGACAAAATATAGAATATGTACGAAGTTCCAACTTTCTATCTTCAAAAACACGAAAGTTGAGTAATTTCCGATTGTTCCGATTGTATATAGAAATACATATCTCGACCACCCACTGTACCAAGAGTACTTAAAGGGCACACACTGTAGCACTTTGTCGCAGTGTTTATGTTTGTTTATGTAATTTGAAGCCTGGGTCAGAAACCTTAAGTGACCGAATTTCCAAACGATCGCTGTGCCTTAGCCGCACGCCGAAACTCCATATGCAGCATAAATGTAATACGAGCAAACCACTTATATGTGCATAAACCTCAACTCAAGCGATCATAGCTGTATACTTAAGAATATATAACCATCTCTCCGCTGCCGCTGGTGGCGTAGCACAGCTACGAGACCTACACTTCCCGACTCCTAGAAATATTGTTAAAGAGAAGAACCTTTTGGGAGCTTGGAGCGGCAACAACGGCTGCTCCAAAAATAAAGATCAAATAATAAAGAACCTAAAGAATATATCGGCACAAATCGACTTGATACAAACTGGATGGGTTCCCTGGACGATTCGCGCGACGACCATGAAGATACTGAAGATAAAAGAACTACGTCCACTTTCCCTGAGCTGGACCCTGTTAGTAGATCGAAGTACCTTCAGGGCATGTGCCAAACCGTTACAGAGTTTTGGTGCCCAACGTAGGGCGCGATATATATATACATATTTTATCGACCCCTTATATTCGAAAAATATAAAGTTGCAATGCCCGATTTCCTTTAACCATTTCTTACCCCGAATAGTAATTTTTTTTTTTTGCATTCAAAGTTAATTCTTTAATTTCTTTTTTTTGATTACTTTTTTTATACCCTGGAAGAGGGTACTATAATTTTGGTCAAAAGTGTGCAACGCAGTGAAGGAGACATCTCCGACCTTATAAAGTATATACATTCTTGATCATAATCATTTCCTGAGTTGACATAAGCATGTCCGTCTGTCCGTCTGTCTGTCCGTCTGTCTGTTTCTACGCAAACTAGTTCCTCAGTTTTAAGGCTATCGTCTTGAAACTTTGCACAGTTTTTTGCACGAAACTTTTGAAACCTTTTTTCTTTTGCACGCAGTATATAAGTCGGAACGGCCCGGATCGGCCGACTATGTCCTATAGCTACAATATAACTGATTGATCGGAAATGGTATAACTTTGGTTTTTTTGAAGTTCGAGAGTTCAAATTTTAGGTGAGAGCTATTTTTGGCAAAATAGTACAACATGTCGAATTTCATAAGGATCGGCCGACTATATCCTATAACTGCCATATAACTGAACGATCGGAAATGACCCAACTTTCGTGTTTTTGAAGATAGCAATCTGGATCTTCATACAAATTCTATTTTTGATCAGATAATTCGACCTACCAAATTTCATAACGATCGGCCGACTATATCTTCTAGCTGACATATGAACGATCTGAACGATCGGAAATGGTTTTTGGAAGAAATACCAACTTTGGTTAAAGATAGAAGTTCGCGACTTGTTTTAAATTTTGTGTTATAATAAATTGGGTTATATTATCATATTCTTATAAGGATCGGCCAACTATATCCGATGTTTGCGATATATATCCGGTTTTAACTGCAAGGGTATAAAAACTTCGGCTCCGACCGAAGTTAGCTTTCCTTTCTTGTTTTGAATTGAGATTGTTCATGCTCCTAAACTGGGAGTTTTTCCCTTTTCAAGGAAGGTAATCAAACAAACTTCTATTGTATTTTTTTTTTGTATGTGCTTTTTATACCCTTGCAGAGGGTATTATAATTTTGGTCAAAAGTGTGCAACGCAGTGAAGGAGACATCTCCGACCCTATAAAGTATATATATTCTTGATCAGGATCACCTCCTGAGTTGATATGAGCATGTCCGTCTGTCCGTCTGTCCGTCTGTCTGTCTGTCCGTCTGTCTGTTTCTACGCAAACTAGTCTCTCAGTTTTAAAGCTATCGTCTTGAAACTTTGCACACACCCTTCTTTCCTTTGCACGCAGTATATAAGTCGGAACGGCCCGGATCGGCCGACTATATCCTATAGCTGCCATATAACTGATTGATCGGAAATGGTATAACTTTGGTGTTTTTAAAGTTAGAGAGTTCAAATTTTAGGTGAGATATTATTTTGCTATTTTTGGCAAAATAATACGACATGCCAAATTTCGTAAGGATCGGCCGACTATATCCTATAGCTGCCATACAACTGAACGATCGGAAATGACCCAACTTTAACCCAACTCGTGTTTTTGAAGATAGAAAGCTGGAACTTGGTACAGATTATATATTTGGTCAGTTGATCCGACCTACCAAATTTCATTAGGATCGGCCGACTATATCCTATAGCTGCCATATAACTGAACGATCGGAAATGGTACTTGGTAGAAATATCAACTTTCGTATTTTTGAAGATAGAAGTTTGGGACTTTTTTTAGATTTTGTATTGTAAAAATTGGATTACATATTCCTATTGCCATAAGGATCGGCCAACTATATCCGATGTTTGCGATATATATCCGGTTTTAACTGCAACGGTATATAAACTTCGGCTCCGCCCGAAGTTAGCTTTCCTTTCTTGTTTTTTTTTAGATTCAGATCACTTCTCTCTCTTTCTCGTAAGCGAACGGTCGTGTTTTTTTGTGTAAAATGTTAATTTTGTTTTCTTAATTAAAAAAAATGGAATTTAAACTTGTCTGCGCTATGAAGTCTTGTAACAAGACAATTTCCACATCCCAGCCTACCATCCATTACTGGTTATGTAAAAACGTAGTACACGGCAAGTGTGCCTGGTTCACTGCCTCAGTTTCGGATGCCATTTCCCGTAGGTCTGGTATATACTATTGTTGTAAAAATTGTCGTGCTGACCAAGGCGAAATGAGGTCGTTCATGATACAGACCAAAAATGGATTAAAAGAGTTGTTCACTGGTTTCCGTAAAGTCAATGACCAACTCTGTGCGCTTGACACTCAGTTTAGCAGCCTTCAGCTACTAATGGAGTCTCCTAAGCGTAAGAAATCCGCTGTTTGTGATCCGCCTCAGTCTACTCAGCCGTCAACAACGCAGCCGCTCATATCTCTGGCCACCCCTAGGGCTAGAACTGAGAACAATTTGCCGTCCGAATTTCGCAAGGAAAATGAGCAATTGTGTGAGCAAATGTCCTCTGTGGTATCCCTTCAAGTGATACCACAGGTCCTAACAATAGAAACACCCGTCAGAGTCACCCAAACGGGTATTCCAAAGTCTGGACCACCGGCACCGACTGATGCAGCAGTTATCGTACCTGCGACACCAAAACCCTTACAGGTGATTCCTCCAGCGAAAAATATATTTGTTTCTCGGCTTGCCCTTGATACTTCAGAGATTGATATCTCGGCTTATATCAAAGCCAAAACAAAAGCCGATATAAAGGTGGAGGACATAACTGAATTTAAATATAAATATACTTCTTCTTCAAGATTCGTGTGCCCGAGTTAACATGCCCTAGTTAACATTCCCTCTCCACAGCCACAGGGAGAGAACACAGAAACGGCAACTGTAAAAACTAACGCCGATGGACAACAACAAAAAGATCGCCAAAAAGAGAACTCTGACGGACACGCACAATTCTCGTGCACTCATACATATTCCCCTACATACTTCTTCATAATAAAAAGATCATTCTTATTCTGTACTCCAAGCTAAACGGTCGTTTACTTGCAAGCCTTCTTTCCAGCGTTTGAAAAAGCGATAGCCATATACGAGATCTCCTCTACTCCCTCGGTTACGAGACTGTAACTGGCGCAGCCGGACTACGAACAAGGGATTAACCATGCCCACTACGCTTATCGTTCAAATTTGCTTGTAGGAGGTGAGTGAACAGGTGACAGCAGTGGTTGTGACACATTAGTAGTGAAATAATTACAAATAATACATACATACTTAAAAGATGGAACAATTGCAAAGGGAAATAAAACATAACGTGCAAGTGCAAATGGGATTTCGGGAGGGAGCGACACCAAAAATGTGCAAATAAAATAAACGAAATCAAATTCTAAATGCCATGCAAGCGACCGTATATGTGTACATCAAACGCTGATAAGGCACCGGGTTCGCTAGTACAGGACAATTTACTACTACTATACCAGCAAGCTGCTGTGTGCGATGACCGTATAAGTGTACATCAATCGCTGATAAGGCACCGGTATCATCAATACACAGCAGCAGCTCAACAGAAACAAAAAATATAAATAAAAAAAAAAAAAGAAAAAAATTCGACATCTTAAACTGCTGTGTGTGTCGATCGTGTGTGTGTCGGAGAGCATTTTGTGTGCACATGTGAGAGAGCCATGCTACTATTGCATCAGCCTATAGCTGAATTGCGATTGGTTGTTGTGGTTTAGCGTCTCCAAGAACAATCGTTACGACGCGACGACAGCCTGGCGCCGCTGTCGCCGAGTATGGTTCACTGAAGAAGCAAATTAAGGAAATAGATCAGTCGAACATTAGACTTCGTTGTGACCAGAGCTCGATATCAACGCGTAAATCAATCGCCGACAACGGAAGAGGACAATCTGCACACAGTGGTTTACAAAGATAAATGTAAGTTGTGTGATTAACGACCGTATATGTGTACAACAATCGCTGTTAAGACACCGGGATCGTTTCCATTTGTCAATTTACATGAATGCAAATGTATTATTATGAAAAACAAAACAAGAACACTAAAACAAAAGAAAAAAAAACCAAAAATGGTAGAATAAATTAAACCTGCACAAATATTATACTGTTCCCTTCGGCAAATATCAGGCAAACATGTATGTATTTGTGTTACGCCGCTCGTGAAACTCTTGTTGCGTCGTTGTGCAGTGGCTGCCGCCATGAGCCGATTACGCGCCGGAACGGCGGAGTGACACTTGGTGCCGTTTGGCTTGTACATTGTTGAATTCCCTTTTTGCACTACACACTAAAGAATAATAAAATTAATTGAAAGAAAATGCTATACATTCTATTTCTATAATATATGTCAAAAAAAAAATAAATAAAAAAAAATAAATAAAATAAATAAATAAATAATAATAATAATAATAAGAAAAAGAAGAGAAAACAACAAGCATTCCATGAACAACATAACTTTTATTGTTGTCACTTGTTCACTAACCTCTAATAAAAAAATTAAAAGAAAAATAATATATATATATTTTTTTTACTAAATCGCATACAACAACAAGGTGGAAGGAGCACTACACGAATGGCATACAACTTACACTAAACACAGGGAAGCAGCAAAACTACAGGTTTTCCTTTTGCTTTGTAAAGAATACATACATACATATATGTACATAGTATCACATATTATAGTACACTATTTAACCACATTAATACACAAACGAAGCCGTGTGGCAAATTTATCCTAATTTATACTATACTTCAAAAATACATACACATATAATTAATTTACATATATATAGTTACTACTTTACATATTATTACTATTCTATATACATTACATACGTAGCATTACCATACTTCAATATAACCAGTTTTTTTTCTCAATACATGTAAAACAGTCACCACTAGTAACATAGTTAGGGGCAGATTAGATCTAAAGAGCGAGGCCAGTCTATCTGAGAAAAGGAAAGCGATAGAAACAAAAGAGAAAGACCAGCTAGTTCAATCCCAAAACAATATTCCTACCAACGCTATGGATTCCGGTAACGCATCAGGGCTACTAAGTCCCATCCTTGGCAATTCATCAACTCCCTCAAACACAAGCCTGAATTTACAACAACTACTTGCCCTTGTTCACCAACTACCCACCTACAAAGGCCCCCCTGACAATCTTGATAGATTCATAAGTAGAGTAGATCAACTTCTTTTGTTAGCCGGATCAGTAGACCAAGCAACTTGCGGACAGTACTTACTGGGAACTATCCGTGACAAGATTAAAGGCAGGGCGGACGAGGCCCTGAGTGTCTGCGATGTACTCATCAGTTGGGATGATATCAAAGCAAATCTCAAGCGACTATACTCTAGCAAAAAAACAGAAGAAATGCTTGTTAGAGAGCTACATAATCTTCCGGACGGACTCAGTATGGGAAAACTATATTACACAGCCACCAAAATAAGAAGCGAATTAATGTCCCTGGCCAGAGAACCAGACCCTAGTGAACACTCACTCACAGTCAAACGAGAACAGTATGACAGATTCTGCCTAAATACTTTCTTAGTTGAATTAAAGGACCCACTTAGGTCAGCCATTAGGAATCAAAGACCAGAGACAATCGAGAAAGCGTACGAGTACGGACAGGTCGAATTAAACTTCTCTAGAAACCTGAAAAAACACCAAGAAAATCGACGACGCGACAGCTCGACATACACGAATCACCCATACGCGAAAGGACAATCAACCTATAATAACTCCAATAGACGCTACATATTAGGACAACAGAATTATAATAATGGGAACAACGGCCGCCATGTACCACGACATGATAACACCAACAACGACAATAATAGTCGCTTTACACAGCGACAGCAAAATTTTAACAACAATGATAATAGACGCTTCACAAGTAAATATAATTCCAATAACGATAGTAATGGTCGACACGATAGACAAACTTTGGGTAGGAACCCCTTCCACAATAGCATCAAACCAGAGCAGACCCTAAACCACCAAGGCAAGAACAACCATAATCCAAGCGCTCCCCTATATTACACTAGAAGCCTCGGGAAACCAGTCGGTTACATAAGCAAGAAGAGTCACGGATCTTCCTTGCCATTTGTTTTCCTATCATCAAACTTCATGGTGTCAAAACCTCTCAAATTTCTAATAGATACTGGATCTACCTACTCATTCATAAACCCAGCACTTATTAACGAAGACCGCATCAAAAACTTACCTCCGATATAAATATCCACACTGTACTCAGTAAATTCAAAATTCGGGAATATACAGATGGAATAAATTTCAAACAGTTCAAAAAAATACCCAATTTTAAGTTCTTACTATTTAATTTCCACCCTCACTTCAATGGTTTCCAGGCATGGATTTCCTATCCGGCCTAAATGCAAAAATAAACTTTGCCGACTCCATATTAGAAACATCAGAAACCGCCATTCCAATACTCACAAGAGCAAACCCTGTAGATACATTACATACCATACCACAAAATACCAAATTGCGACTACCGCTCCCAGTAAACTTCATGCAGGGAGACTTTATATATGAAACCACTAATTTGGATAATCAAATAGTCATAACAGGTGGCTTATACACCGCAATCGCAGGATCCGCCTATTTCGAAGTCTGTAATAACTCAGACCAGATCCAAACACTTTATCTGGAAGAACCGTTACAGGCAGAAGAGTTCTCTCCACGAACCCACCAATACTTAAACTGCATGTCCGCGGCAACTAATACAGAATTACCGGATAATCAACAATTTAACATTCAGACGGAACACCTCAATAGCGAGGAAAAAAAACATATTCTCAAACTATGCAAATCATTCAAAGGCTTTTTCACGGTGAAAACAATCAACTAACGTTCTCTAACGTAGTCAAACACTCAATACCAACAATAGATAATATACCGATTCACAAAAAATCCTACCGTTACCCATTTATTCATAAAGACGAAGTTCGAAAGCAAATTTCAAAAATGCTCGAACAGAACATCATAAAAAGCACCTATTCCCCATGGAGTGCACCCGTCTGGGTCGTGCCTAAGAAAGGGGACATCACAGGCGAAAAAAAGTGGCGCTTGGTAATCGATTTTCGAAAATTTAATGAAAAAACGATCGCTGATAGATACCCTATTCCGAACATTGCAGATATACTAGACAACTTAGGAAAGACTATGTATTTCACAAGAATAGACTTAGCAAGTGGTTTTCACCAAATACAAATGAACCCACGCGACGCCAACAAGACGGCATTCACCGTCGAAAATGGGCATTATGAGTTCACAAGGATGCCCTTCGGGCTCAAGAACGCCCCTGCCACGTTCCAACGCGTTATGGACAACGTTTAAGGTGACCTAGTTGGTAACGTCTGTCTCGTATATCTCAACGATATAATAGTATTCTCACCCTCACTCCAAAAACATATAGCAGATATTAAATCTGTATTCATAAAGCTCCAAAACGCGAATCTAAAAATCCAGCCGAGCAAGTGTCACTTTTTAAGGAAGGAAATCAGCTTCCTGGGACACATCGTCACCCAGGAAGGAGTCAAGCCAAACCCACTAAAGATACAAGCCATCAAGGACTTCCCCTGCCCAAAGACAGCTAGGGAAATTAAGTCATTTTTGGGACTATTAGGGTATTACAGGAAATTCATTAAGGACTTCGCAAGAATAACTAAACCCATGACGAGACAATTAAAAGGAGGGAAATCTATAATAATAGATGAGGAATTTAAACAGGCATTCGAAACGTCGAAAGATCTCCTTTGTAATGATCCCATACTCATATACCCTGATTTTAATAAGCCGTTCACGTTGACCACAGACGCAAGTAACTATGCGATAGGCTCTGTGTTGTCACAAGGCCCGGAAACTAATGACAAACCCATATCCTTCGCTAGCAGGACACTATCGGATACGGAAGTCCGCTATTCTACGATAGAGAAAGAAGTGCTAGCTATCATTTGGTCTTTAGGTCATTTCAGACCATACCTCTTCGGGCGTAGATTCAAAATAGTCACAGACCATAAGCCATTAATCTGGTTAGACAATCTGAAAGGCCAGAATACAAAACTACTTCGATGGAAAACGATCCTGGCCCCTTACGACTACAAAATCGAATACAAAAAAGGGTCGCAAAATGTAGTCGCCGATGCACTTAGCAGAATTGAGCCAAACTTAAACATAAACGAAGACCCACAAATTATATCAATCGCTTCACAACCACTAAATCACTTTAATAGTCAAATAGTATTCCGTACTGGACCAACAACTGCAAGACAAATGGAAACACCGTTTGCCCAAAAAATAAGAAACATAATCACAGAACCCGTGCATACTTTCGATTCCGTTACAAACGCCCTCCAAACAATCCTGAAACCGAATAAAACATTCGCAATATTTGCACCAGACGATATTTTTAAAATAATAGAAGAATCCTATAATAACTATTTCTTCGAAAACGACGTATACAAACTTTCCCGCTGCAAAATACAGCTAACCGATAATACTGATCCCCATGACCAGGAAAACAAAATCCGAGAGTACCACTTTAACACCAATCATAGGGGGATAGATGAAACATATAACCATTTAAAAAGGGACATTTATTTTCCGTTTTGAAAATATTATAAGCCACTATTTATAAGCCACTACGGCCCACCAAAGGAAATAATTTTCGACCAGGGCGCGGAATTTTCAGGCAGTCTATTCAATGACCTCTTAACCCAATTCCAAATAACAGCTCATAAAACTTCATTTCAACAATCAACGGGCAACGCTTCGGTCGAAAGACTGCATTCCACCTTAACTGAACTATACAGAATAATCATCAACAAACGAAAGGAAGCACGCCTAGAATGCGGGCATGATCAGATACTCGCAGAAGCTGTTGCAACATATAACAATGCAATACACTCCAGCACTTCTTATACCCCTTTCGAGCTCTTTCACGGAAGAACTCACATATTCAACAAAACAATAACATTCAACAATCACCACGACTATCTTAAGAAATTAAACGAATTTAGGAAAGAAATATACCCAAAAGTACAGGAACATTTAAACTCGACCACAGAAAAAAGATTGGCTAAATTAAACGAGGACAGAGAGACACCAGTCCAAGTTGAACCTAATGATACGGTATTTAGAAAAGAAAACCGTAGAAACATTACACTTTCATTACACAAAGTAGGTAGGGACCAAGGCGTCACCTTCCTAACAACTAAAGGTCAAAAGTTACACAAACAAAAAATTAGAAAAATAGTTAAGAAATTTATAAAACCCGGAGCACCAGCTTAAGCAACAATACTAACACCGACACAATTCTCAACGTACTTCGACCCGTAGTCCAGAATCCTTTTAATAACCACCCAGCTCTTAAAGTGTCATTAGAAGTCCTACGAAACAAATCAAACAGGTAGAAACCGAAATAGATACATTCTTTCCGCACACTAGAAGTAAAAACGGTCTTATTATGGGCTGGGGACCATACTCAAATCTACCCCGGGAAACCTAGATGATACATTTATCAATTTAAATATATAGTAATAGGATAAACTATAATATAGACAAACTGATCTGATAGTCCCTTAATCAGTAAACTAA